TTTCTTTCGCAATGTATATCTATCATTATACAAATAAATAAAGAAATGATGTTTACCTACAAAAAAAAAAATAAATATTTCTTATATTTTACGACTTCCAGTAATCATGGTAGCACTACTAAACAATTGTTGTACTATAATACCTTTTTCAGAAATCACAATCTTAATGCCTGCTGAATCAGTGTATAAAATGATTTCTCATAAGAAATAGTACTTTTAATAGATTATAACATCAAATACCATATTAATTCTATTTAACCATCCTTATATAGAATTGAAATAGTATCTTGTAATCTGATTTATAAAGCACTAATTAGTATATTATAAACCTATAGATTATAGATTGTTTATATATAATATTGGGCCAGAAAACTGCAAGTTAGTCACTTTATCAGTCCAAAATTAATATTATTAAAGGTAAGTTAAGATGTATAAGATTGATTTGACCAATTAACAAGCTTTTCTTTTCTTTTCTGGTATCAGTTCTTTGCTTAATATAATAACCTTGAGCTATATTCTATAGTGGTAATTATTCTTTCCTTAATAATATATTGTTAGCAGGTAATCTGCTTGATTAAGGCCTGGCAACAGGATTCTCATTTATATGACTTGTTGGAGTAGTGGTAACATTCTAGAAAATAGTCATGTGTCATTATAAAAGCTTAGATAGTCTATTTTATAGTTTGATAGTCTATAAGTCATAGCGTCATAGTCTTATAGCACATTAGTTAGTAATAAAGATAGTAATATAAATAGTGAAAAAGTGTAGAAATAAAGGAGAACAATCTTAATAAAGAGAAAAACAATAAGATTATTAAAAAGAGTTGTTTCACTAATAAATGATCTTTTAATTAAAAAACTTGTCTTTTTAGTACATGCCAAGTTAGAAAAGAATAATCAGGATCCACTAAAGAGAACTGTGGAAGAATTATTGAAAGAATGAATAGTGATGGAAAAGAAAGGACAGTAATTAGTAAAAGAAAGGAGAAAGCGATCAGCCAAAGTCTTATTCGCCTCATTCAAGACAAGAAGATATAATCCAACCTTGACATATAGCAAGTTCTTGCTGCTACTAGTGACAGGCTCGCTGATTTAATGTCAACAATTTGATGGTAACTGTAAGATACAACATCTCATTATCCCTCAATAAAATCATGTGAAAAAATTTAATTAATTAAATTAATTTCAAAAAAAAAAACAAAAACATATTGTTCACTAAAACAAATCCTACCTTCTTTGAAAAAATGTGATTTGTGCAAGATCTGTCTTGATTATTAATCCATGGCAATAATGTTGGAAATCATAGAGATCATGGATGAGGAAACTCTCTGTACTCCTCTACATTGTAATGGTCAGAAAAAAGGAGAAAATGAGTCTGCAGTGTTAGGATACCAGTGTTCAAAGATGAAAAAGAGAACCCACAGTTGTGAATTGAATCCTATAATCAAGCCACCAACTGCTATAACTGGTCAAATGACAAAAGGTTGAAAAAGATAATTGGGTATTTAGAAAAAGATGCGTTAGAATAGTATGAGAACTGTTGGGATCGATTCACACATTGGGATGATAAATATGATTGTGAGGGAAGTTTCATGCCAACGTTCGTATGATATTTCGAATGACAGCACTAATGGAAAAAGAAGTTGGAAGACATAAAGCAAGAAGAAAGTGAAAAGGTGCTCGAATACGTTTGAAGGTTCCAGAAGTTGCTCAATAAGGTCTATTTTAGGGAGAATTACCACAAGGAAGCAGCTGAATGGGTAATTGCACTCAGACTCAGGAAAGACATATTAGTTGCACCTGCCATTAGAAATGCAATTGCTTTGAGGAAAGTACTCAAAGCAGCAATCAGAGCCAAAAAAGAAGTGGAAAAAAGAAAAGAGTTAGAAGACCATGCGTGAAATCAGATGCAAGAACTAATGGAAAGATTTATCATGAAAATATCTGAAGTATGAACTAATGGAAAGTTCTATTATGAAGATATCTGAAGTATGAACTAGCAATGCTAAAAGTGATAGTGAAAGTGGAAGAGAGAGTTATCAAATTAGATGTCACAGATTGTTCCAGAAATGCAAGAGCAAAAATGAGAAGATTGTGCTGGAGTCCAAAATGATGAGAAAGGGTTATTTGAGAACCAAGATGAATTCTCAAGCCTGAGAATCTGAATGCAACGATAATGATATGCCTTTACCTAAAGAAATAAATATTTGTGTTAATAGACAAAAAATCAGTATGAAAAATCAAGTAAAGATTCAGGTTTCAAAGGATAATAAGACCAATGAAATACTTGTTGATGAAATCAGCAATGAAAGGCCCTATGATGAAGATAAAAGCAATATCTTGCAAATTAGAAAGCAGTATAGAGAAAAAGAAACAAATGAAAAAGAAGAATAAGTAGTATCCTGTTGGGAATAGAAGGGAGAAGTGATGAGGGTGATGTGCAAAGGTTTCGGTTCCAATGATGAAGCACAATCGAAGATCATGAATACTATTATGTAATCTTCTCAGCAAAAAGGAATGCTGATGATGGCTAGGAATGATCAAAAAGCGGTCAATGAAACTAAGGAAAAGAAAGTTGCCCTCTCCAAAAGTATGTCCTGTGAACCCAATTTCAACATTGAACCATACTTTACTGTATCAAATCTTGACGTGCATTTGGATCAGATAGAAGAACTGATTATATTGCATAATAACATTTGGAAAGAGATGATAAAAGTAGAAATCGAGAAAGTTGAGATGGACAGCAGAATCAAGAACTGACAGAATGAGCAAACCGAGATAGTATTAGTGGAATAACCAATTGTTTTAATAATGAATAAGAAGTTATCAACAGCAGCAACAACCTGAAAAAATCAAGACAGAACTGATGAAATTGAGAATGATCAGAAAATAGCAAAAGAATTAGCAAGAAAGCTCCCAGAGGATCAACAGGATGCCTCTATGGAAATTGTTTAAGAGTTAAGATTCGTGAAAGTAATATTGTGCATGGATAATATTGACAATGTATCAGTCCAGCAGAAGGTACGCCAAAGCAAAAGAAAAACAATCGAAGACAAAACAACATCGGTAATCACTTGGAAAATACATGCACCTGGGGATGAGACCTACAGATTGTACAATATCCTTGCAGTGTGGTAACGATAGATGGGTGTGTTTCTTCGCAACTTAAAATAAAGCTCACAAAAACATACTCTGATGTCTTTATAAGATTAGAACTTTGCACGATAATAATTATGATCAAAAGTCAAATGGTTCAGATGAGCTGCTTTGCAAGGAAGCTGCTAATTGACAATATTGTCGAAAAAACCATATTATATCCTGAGTGCAATATAATGATGTGAAATCATGATGATGTCCCGATTGATCACAATATGCAACAAATCAGGCAAGACATATAGGAGACTATCAGCGGAAGAATGGCATCAATGACAATAAAGTGGATACACTCATACAAGATCACAACTGAGCTTTGCAGCATCTTCATATTATGGCAACATGCAATAAATGCAACAAATATAAGAAATGTGACAATAATTTATTCCAATGATATATTAGCAATGAATATTTATATGATGCAGAAGTTCAAGGCATATACCAAACAATACAATGATCTCTATTTGTGACATGTATCTTGAATATCAGGATGTTGTAGATAATACAGCCAGAAAAAAACAAATAGTTTGAAACCCCAATAAGTAAATAGCTCAACTGACATTAAATGTCATTGAAGAATCTGTGACATAAGACCTCAAGGAATCAAGATTTGTTTCACTAATTATGTCACCAAACAAGGAGTTGATGACATTCATGGCTAATGAATATTACTCTAGAGCTAGAAGAAGGTACCGAAATAGTAAACGAAGGTTTATAAGAATAATTGTTAACTTATTGCGAAAATGAAAAAGGAATAGGACTTATCTATACTTCACCATAATACCTATCAGAGCGAAGTGTAGGACAACCTAGCGTAATTCTATTCACCAGCCATACTTACTTTGGAATCCTGATACAGCTATAAAGAAATGAAAGGACCATACACTTTGCCAAGAAATCAGATTGGAAAGCCAGCTAGAGCAATCTTATAGAATTATCCAAACTCGTGACATTACTAACAAAAAGTATAATCTTGAATTTATGTGTGCAACTAGGTATAACAGAAAAGGAAACTGTAAAAGCTTAAATGCTAATAATCTGGCCATGATAAAAGAAATTGAAAATGAATCAGGAATTACAATAAGTAACAGAAACAGCAACTTAGATGTCTGCACTGTTGATTCGCCATGTGACATTTAACCATCTGATACATCACTATCATAGAAGACCTGTTGAGTTCCAGGAGTAATAAGGTCTTTGGCGAGGATGCCAAAGATAAGTGGAGAGAAATTGTTAGTAGAGAATTTGCTTGACTAAGGCTTGGCAATATGATTCTTGTTCATATGACTTGTCGAAGTAGTAGTAACATTCTAGAAAATAGTCATGTGTCATTATAAAAGCTTAGATAGTCTATTTTATAATTTGATAGTCTATAAGTTATGGTGTCATAGTCCTATAGTGCATTAGTTAATAATAGAGATAGTAATATAAATAGTAAAAAAGTGCAGAAATAAAGAAGAACAATTTTAATAAAAAGAAAACCGATAAGATTATTAAAAAGAGTCACTTTGCTAATAAAGGATCTTTTAATTAAAAAACTTGCCTTTTTAGTACTTGCCAAGTTAGAAAAGGAAAATCAGAATCCACTAAAGGGAACTGTAGAAGGATTATCAAGAGGATGAATGGTGACAGGAAAGAAAGAATGGTAATTAGAGATAAGAAAGCAATCAGCCAAAGTTTTACTCACCTCTTTCAAGACAAAAAGACATAACCCAACTTTGATATACGATGAGTTTCTACTGTCACTAGTGACAGGCTTGCCGATTTAATATTAACAATACTGAAATTTTTCAAATCTATTTTAATATTTATAAAAATTTTTAAATATACTCTATATAACTTTCAATTTGAAATTATTTTACAAAATTTATTTATTGAATCTTATTTATATATTATAAAAAATTTTTTATTTATATTATCAATTTCAAAATATAATTCTGTTAAAGAATTTAAGTAGTATAAATAGTTGCAAATTTATTATCTATATTAATTATAATATTATTTATTAATAAAATTAATAATATTTGTATTATTTTTTATTTATTTGTTTTTTTTATAATAAATATTATTTCTTTATTTAATTTGTATATAACAAAATATGCATTATAAAAGAAACAATATTTTTTGTATATTAATACAATGGGTTAAATATTAGCTTGTCTATAAAAACTATATGATTAGTATTGAAAAAAAAGTTTAAAACAATATATTTTGTAAATAGTATCAAGCAGTTGTGATATCTACTTAGTATTAAAAGAAATAAAATTAAAAAAATAAAAATATCAAGCTATAAATACATTTGAAATAATTATATTCAAATTGAATTAATAAGTTAGAAATAATAAAGAATAAATTAATAATATTATTATCTTATAGATTAGTAGTAGATGTGACTTTGGCTTGTAAGGTGGTTGGTTTTTTTATTTGAAAAGATTGAACAGGTTGAGGAATTTGATATAGTTCTACTGAATTCCAGTAAAAAATAAGATGTTGATTGTAAAGCAGTAGGGTTTCCAAATCAAGTTATATAATTGAATTAAGGATTTCATTGCTGCCTTAATCCATTGATATAAAGAAAATTTTGTCTATTATTCTACATGACAATTAGATAACTTATTACATATGTGAAATTGGTTTGTAATTGTTGTCTAGGTGAAGAATTTGATCGGCTGCTTGAGAGGCCTTAGAGAATTTGAAAATATGTTGATTTTTTCAATAATGTAAATAAAAAATAAATATTAACAAACTACTGTTATGAATATAAATTATTGGAAATATTAACAGTATTGATTTGTATAGTTGTTCAACATCTGTAATAGCAATTTTCAAGTATTTGCCTAGAATTGATTTTGTTTATATGAATATAAACTATTGTATATTGTTATTGACAAGTACTATTTAGGTTTTATTAGGAACTTGGACCAAATATTTCCATTCCTCAGCCTTAAAGTATTGATTTAAATTTTATTTTTATTTTTAAATCAATATATTGTGAATTTTAATATTATATTATAAGCAATAATGAAAGTTAAAACTGTTTCCTTTCTGTACACTCTTATTTACACTATACGTTAGAATCGTATAAATATTTAAACAAAGTTACCAAATATGACAAATAAGAAATTGTTAATCGTAAGCACATACAGCACATAAAAATTAATCGAAATAAAACAATCTTTTTTAAAAAATAACGTATGGGATAAACCTTTTCTTCTTTGATTCCATGTTGTAAACAATAATATTTGATTGATTAGCCTAATGTCACGCGATTTATATACAGTACACATATTATTCTACTTTAAATTCTACATCTACACTACGGCTAAACCCTTATTTTTTTCAACTTTGTTTTATTGTAACAGGGAGAAATGGGACGCGACGTTAGTCACATGACCGATCGACGTGACAATGGTAAGTCGGCTGTGATAATTAGGTAATAAAGGAAGGACGGGAAGGATTGTGAAAAGAATTATGTAATTTAGCTTTAGCCATGTCGCTGTATCATTATGTCTAAGCCGCCATAGCCAAATGTAAAGTATAATAACATGTAAAGTATAGAGGAGTAGGGGAGACACGTAAGTGAAGTAGTGGACATAGAAGTGAGAAATTAATAAAGACTCGGTCAAATACAAACACGTCTAAAATCACCCATTCATTTAATTACCCCAGTAACGGTTACGCGAATCTCTGCTAGAGTTAGCGACTGACTCGCCGTTACACCGTTACACTATTTTGTAAATTTTTAAACCTTGACAAGAATATGTTACTTATTAGTCAAACGTAGCATAAAACACCTTTTCAAATTATTTCTTATGCATCACGCATGAGAATTCAGATAGTAAATTAGCTATGTGAGGACTGACCAAAGTAGCCGTAGATTTGCCGGTTAATTCTGCTTTAACATTACATTGTTGATTTAGTAATATCATAGAGTCGAACTTGTGAATTAACTTTCATTTTAAAAAGCGCATATACAGTATATACTCTTGACATATTCAAATTTTATGTTTCGAATAAATCATTGTATAGCTAAATATTTAATAAGCAATGTCGTAATTTTAAAAGATCTTATCGCTATAAATTACAAATCAAAATTTATATCTTTTTCCTGTAAATTTTTCTTAATAATCTGAAAAACTTCTATGCTTTCTATAAAACCAAAAGTTTCTGTATTACTAATATGAAATTCGTAATCTCGTTTCTTGCAATCAAACCAGATTTTTCTTGAAATATTCTCAAATATCTTAAAATCAGTGCTGCCAAAGCTAATACAAGAAAAAAAATTAGTGCTAATATTTATTGCCTCATCTTCATTTATAACTCTGCTAAGAATTGATTTTTTTATATTTTCATCTTCTAGGGAAAAAATAAAACTCTGATTTGTTTTTAATTTTCCACTTGTTGCATTCACATTAAATTCTAGGCCAAAAGGAATATAACCACCAAGAATTTCACCCGTAGAAGCCTTCAATATTAATATTAAATCTTCTTTATTAATACATGAATCCCAAAAGGATTTGAAAAATTTACCGGTGTCATCATTTACTAGAATTAATTCAAATTCATAGTAAAATTCAGAAGCATTGTATGATTCTTTTCCATTAATCCACGATATTATTGTTTCTGCTTGTTCAGTGGTTATTATTTTCGAAGATATTTTCACTTTCTGTAAAGGAGCAACATTCCTAGTAGGCAATTGAATACTTAAAAGTTTTCGAGCTGGTGTGATTGTGGAAGAAATGGGAATATTTGGTGCCATAGTCTTGCTAATAATATCCATCCAAAGTTGAGTTTCTAGAATCTGATGATAAGGACGAATTTTAAGGATTACATCCTCTCCGGAAATACAAAAGAATCGTACATGTGGTAAGCAATTTTGAAGTGTCTTTTTTAAGACAAGAAAATCCGTGTCTTTCCATTGCTCAAGAGTTGAAGGTAAAGTAGGATTCTGTTCGATGCCCCATTTAATGACAAGATCCCAAATTTTCGATTCTTCAAGTTGTAAGTCGTCCCGTTTTATAATGGAAATTAAAGCCTCTTCGTTAATTTTATAGAAATCTTCTAAATCAAGTATATCCCCAGGGTGCTTTATAATGATATCGTTGTAAAATTCTTGCAGCATCATAAATTCACTATTCTTACAGATTATCTGATAAGCCTCAGAAAAATTCAATCGCAACCAAGAAGCTTGGTATTCGATCAAATATGATTCTACATATTTGGATAATTCCTTAAGACCGAATTTACTTGCAGAAATTAAGAGGTCAAATATAAGCGAGGCTGGGATAGTTTCTAAATTAATAATTCCACCATAAATATATCTATATAATATAAAGTTAATTGTTATCTTTAAAGTTTTACCGTTAATAATTATATTACTTAAACTACGTACCTAATAATGATGTCAAAAACTTTTGCAAAGACTTTAGGCTTTTTAATAACCTTAATGTTTCCGTCATTATAGCTAATATTTTTTAATTCATTATAGAGGTAGGGACAACGATAACAAAGGATGATAGTATGTGCTCTATACGATTTTTTGATAGATCCTTCCCCTATTTCGATGAGTACATTATACTCATCGTTATTTTCCAAAAGTTTCATAAGGTCTTGGGATAAATTTCCAAGGAAAGTAGAAGTCATCTTGCTAAACAGTAGTATGTACATACCGTACGACAATATTCTATTTAAATATGTAATGTGTACTACTGTAGATCTAATACAGTATACAGTAGCAGATTTTCCGAAAATAAAAAAAAATATTTTACAAACCATTTTGTTCGTTTATTTTTTTTTATGAAAAAAAATACAATTTATCACAATCGTATAATAATATTTATTATGTATATTTAATAGTTTATAACATTTTATTTATAATTTTATTACTGTATTGTTTTAATTATATATACTGTAACTATTTAATGGACCCTAT